TGCCGTAACACCAGGACCCCTGACACAGGGGCCATGAAATTCGCAATTTTAGAAGAGACACCCTTGCCCATCATAACTTTGTATTTAGTTAGTTTGTTTAACACCCAGAAGAAGAGATAATATTTTGAAAGAAATAATGCACTTTCACTACATGATCTATATAGCCCCGCCCTAGCCCCAGATTTCCTGACCCTGGGGCCATGAATTTCAAAATTTTGGTAGAGGGCTCAATGCTTATTACAATCATGCCAACAGTTACACTGCTTGATGTCCAGGAGTAAAAAAGAAGACTTTCAAATATTGCATTAATTTTGGTGGTTTTAGCCCCACCCGTATGACTTTAGGAAGACAGGGACCATGAAATTCACAATTTTTGTTCCCCTTTAGACAAAGATGCTATATGCCAAAATTGAAATTGGTTTGGCGGTTCCAAAGAAGTTGAAAATGTTCAAATGTTAACGCACAACGGACGATGCACGACGACAGACAAAAACGGATAGCAGTATAGGTCGCCAAAATGACTCAGGTGACCTAAAAATATGATGTCTGGATTGATATATATTTTTAGACCAATTTTGATTGTAAATAATGCAAATATTAAATTTCTAAAATATTAAGAAAATGTTAACTTTCTATGATGTTCTTTTTTGCCGTCACCATTATAAATCTTTAACTTTTTTTTTCACTTTGTAGGACTTTATTGTGAAACCTTGAATGAAAAATTAAAATCTATGCGGTTAGAATTATTCATTTTACTTATATAAACATGTTTAAATGTTATTTTCATGATTTTTGAAAAAAAGCTGTTTATATCATTTTTCCTCAATTTGTCAATGAATTAATGAATCTTATGTAAATTTACTGTCCAAATAAGTTTAAGAGATTGAAGCGTCTTTTAACATTTCTATGATTAACAACAGTGTTTATTTAAAAATATTTTATTGTTTTGGGGTTTAGGTAATTCTATATTCTAATACATGAATATACATCTTGTTTGCATGAAATATGGAGATAGCGAGCAGTCCATTCCAACAATACAAATCAGGAGCAAAGCAAACACGGACCTCTAAAACATAAGAGGTGGGATCAGGTGCCATGGAGGATTGAGCATCCCTTGCCGACCGTTCACACCTGCCGACTGCTCCTTGTCATGATCGGGAAAAATCCGTAGACAATTCAGTGTGTAAATAATGGCCTAACAATTTGTTTGAAAAAGGTCAGTTAGTATTTGACTTAAGGACCCTCTCTACACTAAACAAAAATGTTTTTGGACATTGAGAAAATGATATTGTATAAAGGTATAAATATTGAGCTTATTTATATCATTTTCAACTTAGAGTGCCTGGCTTTTACCCCAAGGAAAAATGTTCAAAGTTAAAGTTTTGATGACCAGAAATCACTGTTGTTTACTTAAGTGGGGAAAAAGCATGCAGATGAGGTGTTCAATTAATTCATCTTGGCCTATTAAAATATTAAGAATGCTTAAATTGATTAGAAATTGATGGATAAACTGTAGATTTCAATTTATTTTATTTTAGATCTAATGGCAGGTTACTCCAACTACATAAAAATACCACAGAATCAGAACTCTTTAGTGTGCAGTGTATAGAGGGTTCTTAATGATAGATTGTATTTGCTGACAATGTCATTGTATCAACCATAGATCTTGCAAATGATGACTTCAAACGAAACTGTTTATATTCTTGTTTCATCATTTTGTTTTTCAATAGCTTGCCACGTTTAAGCAATTGTTCGTACGTAGAGCATGCCCTTGCGTATTGAATCAGCTGAGAGACATAAACACCATATGCAGGTGATTAGGTATATTGCTACATATAAGTAAGGGAAAGTTGAAGTCATCACGTTTATCACAAAGCTTGGTTGTTAGGTTACCATTAACGTTTTTTTCTAGTAAAATATCCAAATATGAAACATGAGTCAGGTTCTGTGGTATCTTTTATTTTAAGCTCACTGGGATACATCGAGTTGACATATGAATGGAAGTAACTATTGTTAATTTATAATACGTCGTCGATATATCTAAATGTCGAGTTGAAGGCAACAACAAGTGCTTTTTTCTCAAGTTTAAGATTTAAGTAAATTCTGCTTCATATAAATACAAAAATAGTTCTGCTTATAACGGGGCGCAATTGGTACCCAGGGGAATTCCGAGAGATTGTTGGAAGACCTGGCCCTCCAAAACTACATATTTGATATTGTCAATCAGAAACTCGTCGCCCGCAACGGTTAGAGCGTCTGCTCTAGAGTCGCGGAGTAAGGAGTTGATCCTTACGTCGCGGGTTTGAATCCCACTGTGGGACGTGAAGACCGGTCCTTCGGATGAGACCGTATAAACCGAGGTCCCATGTCTCAGTAGGTGCTGGCACGAAAAAGATCCTTCACTGCTCAATGGCCCTGAGTGCCGTGTATAGGTCAAAATTTACAGCTCTCCACCGGCAAGTGGTGGCGTCTCCATATGAGTAAAAAATTCTCGAGAAGGACGCTAAACAACAAGCAAAAAAATCAATTAGAAATTCAAGCATCTTTTTATGTCTTTCAGAGTACTTGTGTATGGAATCCGGATAGGGCCATGCAGTTCACTATCGCACCATCGACTTAAGGGTCGATGACGCGATAATGCGATAACGATGAAGCGGTGCTGCGATGACGATGAAGCGATAGCGCGATGACGATGATGCGATGGCGCGACAATGCGATGACGATGGTGCGATAGCACGATGGAGCAATAGTGAACATCGCGTCATCGTACCATCGTTATCGTGCCATCGCATCATCATCATCGCATTGTCGTGACATCGCATCATCGTCATCGCGCTAAAGCACCATTGCTTCATCGTTAACGCACCATCTCATCATCGTCATCGCACTATCGACCCAAACCTCGATGGTGCGATAGTGAATTCGAAGTACATGGCCCTATCCGGATTCCATACTTGTGTGTACAATGGGATTGTTTTTAACAAATTAATGTTGTAAATGACTAATGTCAAGGGTCGCCCGCGTGGGTCGCAGTAGGTGCTGGCACGAAAAAGATCCCTCACTGCTCAATGGCCGTAAGTGCCGAGTATAGGACAAAATTTGCAGCTCTCCCCCGGCAAGTGGTGGCGTCTCCATATGAGTGAAAAATTCTCGAGAGGGACGTTAAACAACAAAACAAACAAACAAACAAAACTAATGTCAAGGTAAGTAAATTTACGAGTTCCATTTTTATTGAAAAAGCAGCTGTTACATGTAATGATGTCAAAAAACCTGGACTTTAATTTATCTTGGGGAATGGTTGTATAAAGTGTTGAAAAGTCGTACGTTTTGATGTTATTGATTTTGGTAAAATCTTGTGTTTTCAAATTTTCTAAATGTTCCTTGGAATTTTTAAGTATCCATATCTGATTCAAATCACTTCTCGAATACATTGCTGTACAGTACTCCTGAAATTTCTCCTTTACTGCTGTTATAATATTTTAGTGACAAGTAAAGAAAGAGGCTTGGTAGAAAATTTAATGGAACCCGCTATATGTAACTTTGTAAGGATTTTCATGAAGTTTAGGAATCCAGTATAGGTATGTTAATTTAAATTCATTTTGATTGTTAGAATATTAAAAATATTTAAAACTGACATAATTTTGAAGAATTTCCTCCTTAGAAAGGGAGCTATGGGTATATAAATTGGATTACCATTTGCAGAATTAAATCCTAGTTCCGTTGAAAATCAACTTGTACATACTATTGTGTAAGTACTGTATGTGTCAATAAGCATGATAACCCTGTCTGTACCATCATCCCACTGAAATAAAATTTTAATTGAATCTTGCAACTTTTTCCTCATACAATACATGTGTACCTGACTTGTGACGTTGATCGATCGATTATTGACAACAAAAAGAGTTTGTCTTAGTCGGCAATCACGTGGAGAATAGCTCGTGCAGGTTTTCATAACTTACATAAATAAATTTAAGATGCATTTATCTGAATTTTTTATACAGCAATCTGTATTTTTTGTATAGTTACCTTAATCTGTACATTTTTTTACTCATTAATCTGTAAAATTTACACTTTAATCTGTAAAATTTATACTTCAGTTTTTATTTAATGATAAAAATTTTACAAAAGTGTAAAATTTACAGATTAAAGTGTGGAAAAAATGTCGAAGTGGCATTTATACTCTTCCTATTCACTTTTTTGGTAACAATTACAGTTCACATACTTAGAGTTAAAAATGAGTAAAAGATATTCAAAGAATAAAAGAGAAGTGTGAAGATACCGAACAGTCATTAATCATATCATGAAATTATGACTTGATATTTGAATTTTCTTGAATACGCAACTTTCGAGATTACCTCCCTTGATGCGCTCTTCATTCGCGGAGGGGAGTTTTGTTTCCGCGTAAACCGGAAGGTGGGGCCGTTTATTTACACTGGATACACTGCATCCTCATAATGCCGGTTTATCATTGCTGTGTGCTGGGATGCACTTCCTCCACTCAAAAGCAATTAAATCCAACTAAATATCCTCATCTCAAAGATGTAAATTTCTGTCTTTACCAAATAAATAGGGGCAGAAGAAAAGAAATCAGTGGATTAGAATGATACGACGATAGAAGACATGGGTCCTCCAACAAATATTACCGTTCACGGTAGCTCAGTCGGTAGAGCGCTCGCTTCGTGATCGGGAGGTCGTGAGTTCGAATCTCGGCCGCGACTGACCTAAGTCGATAAAAAATGGGTAGCAACTGTTCCTTCGCCATGCGCTCGGCACTTTGAAGTGAAAGTTGCGGGTCCTTCGGATGAGACCTTAAAAACCGAGCCCCCGTGTCACGGCAGGCGTTGGCACGATAAAGATCCCTCACTGCTCAATGGCCCTGAGTGCCGAGTAAAGGTCAAAATTTGAAGCCCTTCACCGGTATATGGTGACGTCTCTATATGAGTGAAAAATTCTCGAATGGGACGTAAAACAACATACAATCAATCAATCAATCCAACAAATATTCTCGTATCTGCTCATTACACTTTGACAGTCAGTGTGACAGGTCTATTCTTTTTCCTTACAATAATTTTAAAGAGTCCTCTAAGAAAAGGTTTTGTACAATCATTGAAGCTTCTTTTCACATAGTAGTCTGATAAAATTTTTGACTTTGTAAACAGGTTACTGATGCCCGAGAAAATCATCACTGCTTGACGGTTAAATCAATCTATTGTGTGAAAATTTAAGAAAAAATATATTTTAAAAATCTAGAAATGGTGCATGGATGTGTATTATTATAAAAAAAGTTACAAGATCCATAATTATGTATCATATTCATATTACAGAACAACTTGTAACTCCAGCAACACAGCCAAGCCTGTTCAAGATGGGATCGAACCAGTGACGGAATCTTGTGCAATATCCACACAAACCTCAGCTGAGTCATGCATCTATGAAGATGACTCAACTATATGTTGTTTGTGAAGTGGAGCTTTCTGATGCAAATTCTAATGGTATAAATTCATTCTAAAAATGAAAAAAGATATCTTAATGTTCAATTCCTATGGGTTTTTTTTTTTTTTTAAACTCATACAATGAGCTATAATTTTGTAAGTTGATTTTTAAGTTTTAATCAGTGGTCAGAAGTTTGAAGATGCTGAAAGAAGTCCCTCATTATCACTCCTACATAGCAACACCTCAGAGTTCAGCTCATGTCACAGAAATTTCCATGCAGACAGAACTGACCTTGAATGACATTACTAAATTGAGTGAGGAGAACACACATCTCAAAGCAAAGTTAGCTGAAAAATCTTCAGATTGTACACACAAGTACACTGAAGTTCATATTAGTAAAAAAAACTCTTTTCTCCTTAAACTTTCAGTAAGGCGTGACATTCTTGGCGATACCTAATTAGCGTCTCTCAAATGGTGACCTAGATTCTCATTGGTTAAGGAATTAAATATTAGCAACTTTAGATTGTTGTTAACAAACGATGAGATGACATAAGACACACCTCTTTCCTGTAAGAAACGATGTAATTGGTTCCTTGCGTCACTCGTTGACTCTGACTCATTTTTATCCCATGTGTATTTCACCCGTGAATGAAAAGTTCTGTAAATTTCTGTATTGATGAGCTAATCCGGCAACCAATGAGAATCTAGGTCACTATTTGAGAGACGCTAATTATGTATCGCCGAGAATGTCACGCCTTACTGAAATTTTAAGGAGAAAAGAGTTTTGTACTACATGTAAAAAGATGCTCGAGTTTCTGATTGACAATATATATGCAGTTTTTGGAGATCAGGCATTCCAATGATCTGTTGGAATTTCCATGGGTAGAAATTGTACCCCATTATTAGCAGACCTATTTCTGTATTCATATGAAGCAGAATTTATTCAAAAACTTCTACATGAGAAGAAGAAAACACTTGCTGTGGCCTTCGACTCGACATTTCAATATATTGACGACGTATTATCAATTAACAATAGTTACTTTCATTCATATGTCGACTCGATATATCCTAGTGAGCTTGAAATAAAAGATACCAAAGATTCTGACATATCTGTTTCATATTTAGATATTTTACTAGAAAAAGACATTAATGGTAACCTAACAACAAAGCTTTATGATAAATGTGATGACTTCAACTTTTCGTTAACTTCCCTCACTTAGGTAGCAATATACCCTTATCACTTGCATATAGGGTTTATATCTCTCAGTTGATTCAATACGCAAGAGCATGCTCTACGTATGAACAATTTCTAAAACGAGGCAAGCTATTGACAAACAAGTTGACGAAACGAGGATATCAACAGTCTCGTTTGAAGTCATCTTTTCGCAAGTTTTCCGGTCGATACAATTACCTTGTCAGCACATACAACCTGTCATTGAGTCAAATGCTGACTGACGTTTTTTCATACTGATTGTTAGGCCATTAAATTATTTATACACTGAACTGTCTACGGATGTTTCCGGTTTTTGTTTCCCGATCATGCCAAGGAGCACACAGCGGGTGTGACCGGTCCGCAGGGGATGCTCACTCCTCCATGGCACCTGATCCCACCTCTTAATATTGAGGTCCGGGTTTCCTCTGCTCCAAATTCGTATCGTTTCATTGGACTTTCGAGATTGAATACTGTTCGTTATCTTCATATTTCATTTTAAGAGATGCTTTCATTGAAATATAACAAAAAATGAGGCAAATGTTAGATCTTATACTGGTTTAACATCTCTTGCCCTGCTATAGATAGTTTTCGACTGGACTGAATTTAGCAAGAGTTATTTCCCGTTGGTCGCCTTGTTGGAGGTATACAAGCCCTAATTCCTTCTTTGTTCAACCAATTTAAACTTATCATACTGGGCAATTGGATAAAGATAACACACTTTTTCTTACGAATTAATGTTTACTCAAGCTTCCTTTAATTCGTAATTTTAGTATTTAAAAGATGTTTGCTCTTATATTACTGCAATACAAGTTTAAAATTGGTTGCTGAAAGAGGAAAATTCGCTAGTTGGACCTCCAATATGGCGGTCAACGGGAAATAACTCTTGCTTAATTCATGCCAGTCGAAAACTATCTATTAGGAATATTCAACATACTTGTTTACAAATGCCCTACTCTTAAGTATCGGTCTAGTCAAGTAAGTGCTGAAGAAAAAGGCTACCAGAAAAACCCAAGACATAAAAAAAACCTGGTCCCTCAAGAAAATTAGTAATGTCTCTTTTTCATGGATTCATATTGACACTTGTTCGTTTACGATTAGGAATTTATGAATTTTGCCTTGCAGATGTGTTTGGAATATCAAAATCTATTGTTTCACAAATTTTCATCACATGGATTACATTCATGTCAGATGTTTTTGGGTATCTAATAAGGTGGCCAACTAGAAATCAGGTCAGAAAATATATGCCAACGTCTTTCAGAAAGAATTATCCAAACACTCGTGCAGTTATAGATCGTACAGAGTTTTTCTTTCAGCGTCCTCGATCATCCACTGCTCAGGCAGCTACACACAGCAGTTATAAATCTAAGAATACAGATAAATACCTACTAGCTATATCCCCTACAGGAACTTTTATATTTGATTGATTGTATGTTGTTTTACGTCCCATTCGAGAATTTTTCACTCATATAGAGACGTCAACATATACCGGTGAAGGGCTTCAAATCTAGACCTTTACTCGGCACTTAGGGCCATTGAGCAGTGAGGGATCTTTATCGTGCCAACGCCTGCCGTGACACGGGGCCTCGGTTTTTAAGTTTGTATTAATGGTTTATGGTGGCAATGTATCAGACAGATTGATTTCACACGATCTGGCTTTTTTTGAGGAAGATGATGATATCATGTCTGATCGTGGGTTTACTATCAGAGATTTGCTAACAAATAAAAGAGCCAAATTAAACATTCCCCCTTTTAGTAGAAAGTGTGTTTGGGGAAAAAAGAAACGGTTAAATGCAGATGACATAGAAAAACAAACCAGAAAGATTGCCAAGCTTAGAATCCACGTAGAAAGAGTCATCTACAGACTAAAGTTATTCAGACTTGTTGGAAATATTATACTATGGTCTTTAAAACCAATTATGAATCAAATGGTATAAGTTGCGTCATTTTTATGCAGTTTGATGCCACCCTTGGTTAGACGGTAGTTGAATTTAAAAACCGAAGAAAAATACACTACATGTTTAGATAATTTTTAATGAAGTAATTTTTTATACTAGACTTACAAAAGTATTATTTGCTTGAATTATGCCAGGTTCATAAATAATACACATTATATGAAATTCTTCATATTTGTATTTTTATTAATATTTTATTTTAAAATGTGTCAATTATTATAGTACAATACTATAATACAATATTGTATTATATAAATATACAATATGTATTTCAAATATCATAAAGGTAATTTATATTCTACTGAGAGCTTGATATTATAGAGCAGATTTCATATAGTTTTCAGCAGCTATCTACACATGCATGAAATATTTGCCACTGAAAGCAAATGACAATTTCCCCCAACATTTTGAGCTTTTAATGCATAAGGAAATAATTTCCTTGCAGCTTTGGCAATAATTTGTTTTTTCAAAACAATTAAATCCATAGTGATGGATCAAAGTAAATTTTTCACTGTAAATGTTGTGTTTTCCATTTGTGACATCACCTTCTAAATACAAAACAAATTCACACCACTGTACATTTGCAACAGCCATTTGTGTTTGAATTTGATTATACCAATTTGAGTTCTCTTTCAATTTCATACACCCATTCTCATCCCTCTGAATATGATAATTTTCATTGAAAATCTGATCTAAAGTGTAATTTCTAAATTTGTATGGACATTTAATCTCAAGAATTCCTGTTCCACAACACTTACACTGCAAAATTCCATCTGGCGAAGCACCAAGATAACTAAAGGGTTATTAGAATCAATAATAAGACCTGATGAAATTTTCACTCTACCACCTTTGTGTTCTGCAAATACTTTTTTCATATAAATTTCTTGTCATAACTTCCCTTTCCTTACCATAAACGGTGGCAGGTGTTGAAAATGATGTACAGTCGTTGCTCAATATTTGTTTTACATTGTAGTTATACCCGGTCATTTCCTTTATAATTACAAGCATTGTGTAAGATAGATGAACCAATTCTCAAAAATCTGTATTTATACCAAAAGATCGAGTCTGATTGATGTTCAGTAAGCCTATTGATTTCACTACAATCTGTTTTACCAATGCATGTTGATACGTAGTCAAAAATTGATAAATTTTTAGTAGGGTCAAAGTTTGAAATGCACTCTTTCAAAGTTTTAGGTAGATTTTGTACATTGCTATCATCGATGGTTACATGTAAGTCAAATACTTCCATGATTTGGGAGTCAGAACCTGAGAATTGAATTACTCATTATATTTTTTTAATGAATGAAACTAAGGTGCAGCCTAATAAATCATCAATACTAATAATTACAGTGTTTTTTATTACATTGAAAAAAATAGTTTGCAACTATCTGTCATCTTTTTGAGACATGACACTGCAAATTGATTGTGGAAAAAAAAAATAAAATTAATTATACAAAATAAAATTGATCTTAATACCTTTATATCAAACTCATTTTAAAAATAAAAGGCTGGTTCCAGTAACTACCGGTATGTATTTTGACAGACATAAATTACAATTAAGAGACTTAGACAACAAAGATCTTTATTTCTTTCTGCCCAATTCCCAGGATATATAGATAAGACCTGCTTGAACAGAGATGCCCTAACAGCTTCGCACACTGAACTCGTTCATTAATCTTTAACTGGATGCATGTCCACTCATTACTCCCAAGGGACAAATGGATTTACTCTATCTGCTGTGTAATGCAAAAACTGTTTTTAATACTTTGTGATTTTTATTTTAGTTCTATTGAGTAGTTTTAACCTGTAGTTCACATTTTTGTACAGATGTTCTAGATTCTATGTCTCAAACCTTAGCCATGAACCCGAAATGACTTAGTTAATAAAAATGAAAAAAAAAAACCTGTAAAATGCAAAAAAAAAAAATTATCCAATCATGATGAAAATACCAGATGCACACCTTCATATAGGGAATAATAAGTGTACAAATTTTCAGACAAATCATTGCAACAGTTTCCAAGAAATGGTCCGGACAAAATCTCGTCTACAGAACAGACAGT